AGCACAGCTGGACCAAGCCTTTCTTCTTCTTCACCCACTCAAACAAGTAAGTTTGAGGTTCATCTAGGTCACAGAGCTCCAAGCACAGGTCTACTGTCACCTTCAAGACCTGCTTCTCCCCTGGCTCTGGATGGAACTCCGTTAAGTCATTCCTTCTTTTCTTCAGCGGTGGTGGTCCACAGTCAGTGGAGACAGCTTGAGGCTGCACATTCCAGAAGCTCTGGTTTTCTTTTCTCAAGTCTAACACTTGCAGCTTGCACCTCCTGTGGAGAGACCCAGGTGTGGGAGGGAGTTAAAGATCATTTTAGAGGGCTAGGAAGGGGGCTTGGTGGTAGAGTATTTGCCTAGCATGCACGAAGCTCCGGGTTCGACTCCTCACTCAGTACCACATAAACTGAAAGAGCCAGAATTGGCACTGTGGCTCAAGTGAATGTTAGCCTTTGAACAAAAGATGCTCAGGGACAGTGTCCAGGCCCTGAGCAAGCCCCAGGACTGGCAAAAAAACAAAAAGATTATGTTAGAGGTCCAATACCCAGAGAGATCCTTGAATCTCAGCCTCCTCAGCAGCTAGGATTGACAGGCATGAGCTACGAGTGCCTGATTCAGCCTGGGCTGTTAATATATAGAACCTAAGCCACATTTTTGTATTTGACCAGTCTTCCTTTCCTTTCTTTTTTAAAAAAAATTCCCTTCCTTTTATAAATCTCTCTCAATAATACTATGGCATGAACCTAGCCCCTGATGCATGTTGGGTAAAGGTGCTTCCTCTGAGCTACAGAGGCAGTAATCTGTTTTCTCTCCTTGAATCCAGCCTGGTTCCCAATGGCAAAGCTTGGGGGGGAAGGCGGCAGATGCACCTGCTTCGTTCAGCAGCTCCTTCAGCCACCCCTGCATCCATCACTGTGCTCTGCTCACAAGCTTCTTCCCAGAAGACAGAGCCCAGCAAAGGCCCAGACAGAGCCCAGCAAAGGCCCAGACAGAGCCAGCAAAGGCCCAGGCCCCTCTAATCTGCCCAGCGCCATCAGTTGCTTTTCTCTCCACTCGCCTGGTTCTCAACTCAGTCTTCCCTAAGCTCCACAGCTCTCACTTCCAGCTCTCTGGCTGGACCCCACTCACCTGGGCCGATCCTTCTGAGCAAGCAGCATGTTGAGCCCACTCAGGGCGATTTTCAGGGTCCCCATGTCTAATGTCTTCTTCATCAGGGGTCCCAGGGGGAGGCAGGGGAAGGGCCAGGCCTGCACCATGGCCTTCAGCACCTTTGTGCGTTTCCTTTTCAAGGCCTCCAGGAACAACAGAGGGAAGAGATCGCAGGGCAGGTCCTCCAGAGCAGAGATGGCCAAGGCCTGCTTCTCCAACAAGCTCTGAGCCGCCAGCTGTACCAGTGTGGGCAGGGCCTGATCGCCCATCTTGATGAACCTGGAGGTAAAGATCCTGGAACAGCATTCGGGAAGATGTTTCCTTTGAGACAAGGCTAAACCCCTTCTCACCCATCCAAAGACCATTACTTTGGCCATGGTAGAAGAGTCCTCAGTTTGCCATTTCCACTCAGGATTTGATGGCATCCAAGCCACAGCTCTGACACAAAGGGCCTCAGGACTGCCCTTGTCCAGTTCACCACTTAACCACCCATTTCCTGAGTTCCAGGCATGGTAATAGAATTGAGGGACCTGAAAGCTCACCCTCATGATTTTGTTTTAGTATTTGGTCATTATGTGTCCACCCTAAGGCTGACTCTGAGAGATTTTCCCCACGCTAGAGGAGCAGAGGGAAGAGACAGATCAGGGCAAGGCTCCGCCTTCAAAGTAGGCACAGGGTTTAGGGTGGAGCTCAGTGCTAGAGGGCTGATTAACACGCACAGGTCCAGCACCACAAACAGCAAACAAGCAAACAAAACACAGCAGAAGCAAGAATCTTCCCCATAACCTTGGGCAAAATATTGTACACAATAAGTCTTGTACTACCTGTCTCGGACTGATGGAAAGGAATCCAACCTCATCTTTTAAGCCATCAAGCTGTACACCCCTGAGCAATACACGCCCACTTGTATTTGTGTTTGTGTGTGTGTGTGTGTGTGTGTGTGTGTGTGTGTGTGTGTGTGTGTTGTTGGTCCTGGGGCTTGAACTCAGGGGGCCTGGGCCCAGTCCTTGATTTCTTGCTCAAAGCTAGTGCTCTACCACTGGAGCCATAGCTCCACTTCTGGTAGCTTATTGGAGATAAGAGTCTCATGGACTTGCCTGCCTAGGGGGCCTTGTACTATGATCCTCAGATCTGGTCCTTCTGAGTAGACAGGATTACAGACGTGAGCCACCAGCACCAGGCAGACCCTAGGCCTCCTCTTCCATCAGCCTGGAGAGGTGGGAGAGCAGGTGGGATCTATCTCTCCAAGCTCAGGTGTTAAGCTTCCACTAAAGCTCTCTAACAAAGACAAGGCCAGTTCTGGTGGAACTTTTGAAAGACTAAAAACAACAACCACAACAATAAAAAAACCCATAACCACCACAACAAAAATCCCTGGGAGTTGAACTTGTAAGATTACAGGACTCCCAGTTTCATCAACAATCACTGAAGGAAATAAATGAAATTTTTCAGCTGTCAAAATACAGGCCTGGCTTCTTTGGCCAGACCCTCCATCCAAGTTACTCCAGGACAGAATTAAGACAGGTGGAAGTTGAAGAGCACTGGGGCAAAAACATAAACTCAAACCTATCAGCCCAGTTGGTTGCCCTACCTTTAATTCCTTCCAGCTACCCGAGAAATCACAATCCCAAACAACTGATAGCAAAAGTTCTGGGGTAGCCCTCAAGTGGGAAAAAAGCATGTCTGCCAAGTACAAGATCCTGAGTTTAGAAAACCCTAGTACTGCAAAACAAAACCAAAATAAAGAATTAAAATCCCAACCATAAATGAACTTTTTTTTTTTTAGAGATCCAATACAAACCAATAAACCTGCTTTAAAAAAATTTAGGAGTTTGGGCTGGGAAGGTGGCTCAGTGGTAGAGTGCTTGAGGCCCTGGGTTTGATTCCTCAGCACCACATAAGCAGAAAAAAAAAAAGCCGGAAGTGGCGCTGTGGCTCAAGTGGTAGAGTGCTATCCTTGAGCTGAAGAGCTGAGGGAGAGCGCCCAGGCCCAGAGTTCAGGCCCCACGACCAGACCCCCCCCCCAAAAAAAAAATTTTTTTTTTAAGAGTTTAAAACAACAGAAACCATAGTGCAAATCAAAATACTTGGACTGAGGACAAAGCTCCATAGGGAGTCCAACCAAGAATCGTAAATCTGTTCATTGAAAGCAGCAAAACAATAACATTCTCAAGGGTAATCTGAGCTTCCTGACACCACTGCCCTGGTTTGAAAGAGGGCCTGATAATTCATTTGGAAGCAAAAGACTTACCAGACGTGGTGCAGGTAGTTGAAGCTCTCTGAACTCAGCAAGACCAAGCAGAGACTCGAGGGTTTCAGAAAGCTGTTTGTCTTTGAGATCTGGGAGTCTTTATTTATCTTTACCACTATACTTCCCCCTTTAACTCCTGGTATCCAATTAGAAAGCAGCATCTCATTAAAGTCCTCCAGCTCCACCCAGTTCACACTGATTGAATTTTTTTTTTTTTTAAGCTTTCTCTAGATTTAACATATGGCTACAGAAGTTCCTGGGGGAAGGGGAAAGGGCTTGAGGGAGAGTCAAGTTTACTCTCCGTACTCCATAGGGTTTTATATATATATATTTTTTGGGGTCCGGTAGAGGGCCTGAACTCTGGGCCTGGGCACTGTCCCTCAGCTCTTCAGCTCAAGGATAATGCTCTACCACTTGAGCCACAGTGCCACTTCCGGCTTTTTTTTTTTCCGGCTTATGTGGTGCTGAGGAATCGAACCCAGGGCCTCATGCATGCAAGGCAAGCGCTCTACCACTGAGCCACCTTCCCAGCCCCTCCATAGGGTTTTATTCCTCTGTGACCTTCATGTTGGAGATTGGATACAGAAAATTTTCTTCTGGGGCTGGGAGTGTGGCTTAGTGGTAGAATGCTTGCCTAACATACATGAAGCCCTGGGTTCGAATCCTCAGTACCATATACATAGAAAAAGCTGGCAGTGGCACTGTGGCTCAAGTGGTAGAGTGCTAGCCTTGAGCAAAAAGCAGCTCAGGAACAGTGCCTAGGCCCTGAGTTCAAGCCCCAGAACTGGCAAAAAAAAAATTGTGGAGCATCTGTTCCTAAATTAACGGAGTGATCTAGCAGAGCAAGACAAACTGAATACTCAGAAATCAGGAAGTGAACTTTGAGAAGCCACGAAAGAGCTGGCTGAGCACCAGATCTTCAGGACGTAGGCTCGGTGTCAGGGATGACTGACAAGAGCCTAAATGTGCATCAATAGGTTTCAAGGTCTCAATGGGCCAAGCCCTCATCTGGGGTGCCCTTGCTCTGTGGGGTACACTAAGCCACCTGGGGGATGAGGATGGCTCTGTAACACCTGCACTGCCATAATCTACATCACAGGAAGACCTTAGGTCTAGAAGAGGAGACAAAACCAGAGCCCTCTGTGTGATACACCGATAGGGACTCACACACACTAAAGCAAGCCTGCTAGAAACACCTGGGAGAAAGGGAAGGCCAGGGAAGGCTTTACTCTGTGCTCTTGAATGGTTTCCCACTGAGAACATTGTCCTGTACAACTCAGGCTGGGGGCACAGAGAAAGCAGGCAGAGAGCCCTGTACTGCCAGACTGGGCAGCCAGGCCCTGACCAGGGCTAGGCAAGCCTAGGGCCCAGTGCTTCAAGTAGCTGCTATCTATCTCCAAGGAAGGACCTTAGGACCCAAAGTCAGATTTCAGGATCTCCAAGAGCCAAGCTGCTCCACATAGGCCACACTGGAGCCTGAGGTCTCCATGTCCCTGTGTGTGTAGAGGGAGGTGTGGGGGGGGGGGGCGCGGAGGGAGTGTTCTAGTACCAGAAATGGTATGGGTAGGGCTGTAGGGTGGAACCAGGATATCCAGGATGGCAGCTGACCTGTCTACCACTGGATCTGGTGCCAAGTCAGGACACAGGAGTCGCTGGCTTTGGTGTACTTGGCCCTGAAGCAAAGCGGGTTGGCAGCAAGGCCTCGGGCTCTCAAACCCCAGCGGTGGCTAGAACTGTGGGTTTTGCCCTCACTGCCTGCTGCCCCCATGTAGCTTGTCCAGGCAGCTGATGGTCTGTTCTGTACTATGTCATAAAGCACCTGGAGCAGACTGAGCACAACTGGGGGGTCATGCAGCAGGATCCACCCAGCATCCTGGCCCCCACTTCGGGAACACATGATGAAGTCTTGGGTGGCGGCAGCTGCAGAGTGGCCATGTTAGGGTGACATTGAGGACCTGCGTGTGCACCTGGCCCAGCAGGCTCTCCAGTTGGCTCAGGGTCTAGGTGAACAGGCGACATCTGGGCTTGGGAGCTAGACCCAAGTCAAAGTGAGAAGGCCAACATCGCCCACTGCCTGCAAGGAAGCTGAGACTGGCCTGGCAGACTGTCCTTCCGCTCAGGAAGCTCCTCCCACTTGCCAAAGGGCTTGCTCCACTGCTCCTGTGGGTGCTGTAGGTGGCTCCATCCTGTGCTCTGTCTAGCCCTTGAGGTCCTATCTAATCCATCGCTTGTGGTCCCCAGTGGTGATGGAATTCCACAACTTCTGGCCCATACTACACATTGTCCACTGCTCTGTTTGTTTACCTTGTGCCCACTTTTTTTTTTTCAAACTTCCGGTTTGCCCACGTTGACTTCTAAGTGGAGATCTTTTTCTTTTCTTTTTTTTTTTTTTTCTTGGGGGGGGGCGTGTTGCTGGGCTTCAAATCAGCCTGGGTGCTGTCCTTGAATTTCTTGAATCACAGCTCCACGTCTAGCTTTTTGGTGGTTAACCGGAGATGAGTTCCATGGACTTTCCTGCCTGGGCTGACTTCAAGTTTCAATCTGCAGATGTCAGCCTCCTGAGTAGCTGGGATTATAGGGGTGAGCCACCAGTGTTCTCCTTGAAGACCCTCTGGTCTCTTCCTTAGTGCTGAGATTACAGGTGTATACCACCGCCTCCAGGTAACATCTGTTGACAGCAATGCCCATCATACAAAATCAAGTTAATTCCTTTAGTTTCTCTCTCTCTCTGTCTCTCTCTTTTTCTTTTTCTCTCTCTCCCTTCCCCGCCCCTCTAAATATCTTGAGAAATTCAGGAATCCTCTGGAATCCTAGCATTCTAACATTAGTTCAAGATCTAGAAACTTAATGTAGGATTTGGTCATGTGGTAATTTTATGAAAGTTAGTGCAGCTACTCAACCTTGATTCTTTCATCCTACATATAAAGAATTCAGGCAAGGGCTGGGATGGAGCTTAGCGGTAGAGTGCTTGCCTAGCATGCATGAAGCCCTGAGTTCGATTCCTCAGTACCACATAAAACAGAAAAAGTTGGAAGTGGTGCTGTGGTTCAAGTGGTAGAGTGCTAGCCTTGAGCAAAAGAAGCTTAGGGACAGTGCCCAGGGCCTGAATTCAAGCGCCAGGACGGGCCAAAAAAATAATTCAGGCAAGAGTCAAACACAGTAAAAGTAGTAGGTAAGTTTATTAGGGAAGAAATGTGGCAAAGAAGAAGACATGGCACAGACGTACCTCAGGATGAAAGTACTTCTGCCCATCTTCAGCCATTTTCTGCCATTTTGAGGGGTGCAGCAGTGGCCTTAGGTTAAACAGAGAGAATTGGGGGTGAATAGGGAGAGAGAAGTTTTGGAAATAGTCCCAATCAAAGGTGGTTTCAGAGATGGCCCAAGATTCTCTAAGTCCATTGTCTCAGGATAGGTTTTGTTGGGCCTTAGGATAAGAACCTTGTACATCTCGTAGGTGGTGCTGAGTTTTCTGGATTCTAAGATAGGAGAGAATGCCTCAGAGCATAAGATCTCTCCTCAAGACTAGCCCAAGGGACAGTTGCTGTCCCCAGGCTGTAGAGAGTTTTGCTGCATTAACATTTGACCTCTAGGCCAAGATTTTCCTGGCCAAGGTGGGTTAAATCTATTGTTTTGAAACTCTTCCTTTTAAACTACAATAAAGCCAATCATCAATTCTTAGGTGGGTTAAATATAAAAATTTTAAAAACCCAAGTTGTGACATTGGATGACCTCTGCTGTTTCTCAGATTCGTTGTAATCTTGCCCTCCATTTTAAGTTCCCTTTATATTTCCCATCTCTCAGGCATGAGTAATTGCTACCTATTCAGTGGTTGTAAAAAAAAAATGTGAAAAGAGCCAGGCACCAGTGTCTCACGCCTGCAATCATAGCTACTCGGAGGCTAAGATCTGAGGATAGCAGTTCAAAGCCGGCTTGGGCAGGAAAGGCTATGAGACTCTTTTTTTTTTTGGTCCGGTTGTGGGCCCTGAACTCTGAGCCTGGGCGCTGTCCCTCAGCTCTTCAGCTCAAGGCTAGCACTCTACCACTTGAGCCACAGCGCCACTTCCGGCTTTTTTCTTTTTGCTTATGTGGTGCTGAAGAATCGAACCCAGGGCCTCATGCATGCAAGGCAAGCGCTCTACCACTGAGCCACCTTCCCGGCCCCCTCTATGAGACTCTTATCTCCACTAAACCACCAGAAAACCTGAAGTGGCACAATGGCTCAAGTGGTACAGCACTTGCCTTGAGCTGAAGAACTGAGGGACAACGTTTAGGCCCAGAGTTCCAGCCTCATGACCAACCAAAAAAAAAAACCCCAAAATTTAAAAAGGGCCCAGTGCTAGTGGCTTATCCTTGTAATAGATTATTATTATTATTATTTTGTTGATTGTGGGGCTTGAACTCTGGGCCTCTTGAGCTCTTCATCTCAAGGCTGGCACTCTACTACTTGAGCCACAGCGCTACTTCCACTTTTATGGTAGTTCATTGGAAATGAGAGTCTCACAGACTTTCCTGCCCTGGCTGGCTTTGAACTGTGATTCTCAGATCTCAGCCTGGCAATCCTAGCAATTAAAGAGGCTGAGATGTGAGGATCATGGGTCAAAGCCAGCCAGGGTAGAAAATTTCATGAGATTCTTATCTCTAACCACCAAAAGCTAGAAATGGCTCAAGTGGTAGAGAGTTAGCCTTGAACACAAAACCTCAGGGACAGAACCAACCCCCCAGTATTGGCACCAAGAAATAAAAATGCATAGACAGCTGGATAGAAACCTAATTTTAAGCCCGGCACCAATGGCCCACACCTACAATCCTAGCTACTCAGGAGACTAAGATATGAGGATCAGGGTTTGACAACCTGGTCAGGAAAGTTTGTGTGACTTATCTCTAATTATCTACCAAAAAAGCCAGAAATGGAGCTGTGGCTCATGAGGTAGAGAGGTAGCCTTGAGCAAAGGCAGCTCAGGGACAGAGCCCAGGTCCTGAGTCAAGCCGCAGGATGGGTTTAAATATACACAAAAGGTTCAAAGCACTCTGAACATAGAACCATTAGAGATCGTATAAACTAAAAGCATGAAGGTGGGCACCAGTGGCTCACCCCTGTAATCCTAGCTACTCAGGAGGCTGAATTCTAAGGATTGAGGTTCAAAGCCAGTCCTGTCAAGGAAAGTCCATGAAACTCTTTTGTTGTTGGTGGTGGTGGTCATGGGGCTTGAACTCTGGGCCTGGGCACTGTTCCTCAGCTCTTCAGCTCAAGGCAAGTGCTCTACCACTTGAACCACAGCGCTACTTCCAGTTTTCTGGTGGTTAAATGGAGATAAGAGTCTCATGGACTCTTCCTGCCCGGGCTGGCTTTGAACTGTGATCCTCAGATCTCAGCCATCTGAGTAGTAAAGATTTCAGATGTGAGCCACCAGCGCCCAGCTCCATGAAACTTTTTTTTTTTGCTGGTCATAGGGCCTGAACTCTGGGCCTGGGTGCTGTCCCTGAGCTCTTCAGCTCAAGGCTAGTGCTCTACCACTTGGGCCACAGGGCCACTTCTGGCTTCTTCTGCTTATGTGGTGCTGAGGAATTGAACTGACAGCCTCATGCATGCAAGCCAAGGACTCTACCATTGAGCCACCTTCCTAGTCCCCTCCATGAACCTCTTATCTCCATTAACCACCAGAAAACCAGAAGTGGTTATATGGCTTAAGTGGTAGAGTACTTGACTTGAGCTGAAGAGCTGAGGGGACCGAGCCCAGGCCCAGAGTTCAAGCCCCATGACTGACAAAAAAAAAAAAAAGAGCTGGTATTGGTGGGTGGTTAACTCTTGTAATCCTAGTTACTCAGGAGACTGAGATCTGAGGACAGAGGTTTGAAGGCAGCTCGGACAGTAAAGTCTGTAAGACTGTTTTTTTTTTTTTGTTGTTGTTGTTTTAGCCAGTCCTAGGGCTTGAATGTGTCCTGGGCACTGTCTCTGAACTTCTTTTTGCTCAAGGCTAGCACTCTAGCACTTGAGACATAGTGCCATTCTGGCTTTTTCTGAGTAGTTTATTGGAGATAACTCTGGGACTTTCCTGCCTGGGCTGGCTTCAACAACAGTTCTCAGATCTCAGCCTTCTGAGTAATTAGGATTATAGGTGGAGCCACCTCTTTGGCTCTGTAAGACTTTTTTTTGGTGTACCAATCCTAGGACTTGAACTCAGGGCTTGAGCACTGTTCCTGAGTTTCTTTTGCTCAAGGTTAGCACTCTACCACTTGAGCCACAGCACCACTTCCGGCTTTTTCTGTTCACGTGGTACTGAGGAATGGAACCCAGGGCTTCATGCATGCTAGGCAAGCACTCTACCGCTAAGCCACATCCCAGCCCCTCTGTGAGACTCTTATCTCCAATTAACCAGGAAGATTATGGAAGTGGAGGTGTGGCTGAAGTGGTAAGCAACAATCTTGAGTAAAAAAAAAGGACCAGTGCCCAGACCCTGAGATCCTGTCTTAGTATCAGCATTAGAAAAAAAAAACTCTTAGATTTGATGTTTCTAGGAAAGCACCAGGGAACAAATCATACAAAACTAGTAGCTTTTCTACATATCAAAAACAAATTCCATGAGAAAAAAATGCAGGAAAATGATCCCATTCATTGCCCTGCCCCCATAAGGTATCTAAGAATATACTAACCAATGATATGAAAGACTTCTATAATGAAAATAGCAATGTGCTAAAGGAAAATACTAAAGGAGACTTTAGACACTGGAAAGGCATCCCATGTTCATGGATAGGTGAGCCTCCTCTGCTCAAAGCTAGCATTCTACCACTTGAGGGTTTCATGAATGCTAGGTAAGCACTCGACCACTAAGCCACTTTCTTAGTCCAATTCAGTCTTTTTTGTTGTTGTTGTTGGTTGTAGGGGCTTGAACTCTTGGCCTGGACACTTTCCCTAAGCTCAGGATGAGCGCTCTACCACTTGAGCCACAGTGCCACTTCCAGTTTTCTGCTGGTCAATTGGAGTTAAGAATCTTACAGACTTTCCTGTCCAGGCTGGCTTTGAACTTCAATCCTCAAGGGGCTGGGAAGGTGGCTCAGTGGTAGAGCGCTTGCCTTGCATGCCTGAGGCCCTCGGTTCGATTCCTCAGCACCACATAAGCAAAAAGAAAAAAGCCAGAAGTGGCACTGTGGCTCAAGTGGTAGAGTGCTAGCCTTGAGCTGAAGAGCTGAGGGACAGCGCCCAGGCCCCACAACCGGACCCCCCCCCCCCAAAAAAAAAAAAAACAAAAACAAACGTATGTGAACTTCAATCCTCAAATCTCAGCCTCCTGAGTAGCTAGTTGTGAGCCACTGGCGCCCCAGCTCAAATTCAGTCTTTTACAACAAGTTTCTCCCAGAACTCACTCAGGAAGAACTCCTTTCGTCCCTTCTGAGGGCACACACTCAAGGATCTCCCAATAAGCCCCTCCAACACAAAGCACCATCTTGGTCTCCCAGCAACTTGCACCAGGTGACCCTGGAGTTTGGACAGGGGGTGTGTGCTGTACATTTCAGGTAAACCACCTGTGGTTTATGAACCAAACAGACACAGAAGCCAGAAGGAAGAAGTGCCCAGAGGAAAGTAGACAATGGGAGGTTATGGCACCACTGCATTGGAAGCTGGGAGTTCCTGGGGCCAACACCCCATTGTATGTCAGATGACTCAGGGCCTCACCCACTAGCAGTTCTCCAGAGATCTGTGGATTTAAACTGTAAGGGAGGCAAACTGATCATGGAAGATATGAACTGGTTTACACTGAGATTCTCTTTATTTCTGTTTCTTTAAAACCATCTATACAGGAGCAACAACCTCAAGTCCCTCTCCAAACATGAATTTTAACCCAGAAACTCAATATTCCATTTCTGAACCCCTTTAGAACATGCATCTCTGAAGGTTCTCAACTCCCCAGGTCAACACCTCCCATCCAAGGCTGCCCCCACTGCTGGCCCTGTCCTTTTCCCTCCCAAGACTGCACAAGTTCTGAGTCCCTCTAGGATGTACCTATGTTCTTTTTTCTTTTCCAATGCCTGTGCCCAACTAGATAGGCTGACACCCCAGAGCACAGATTAGCTTGGGCTTCAAACTGTGGCTCGTTGCCAGGGGGAGGAATGGTACTGAACCAGACTGTTCTGGACTGTCTTAATGACTCCACCATCACCATCAGCTTATCACGAAGTTGGTTGAGTCTCCACTGTTGCTGGCCACCCTGGGGGCCGTAGACCTCCAGAGGAGTAGAATACATCTCCAGGCTTAAGTGGCTCAGGTGCACAGTGTGGACCAGCAGGGCCTCCAGGGCGGTCACAGACACGGGGTTCCTCAGGTAGTTGAAGGTGGTGAGGCTGGAGCAGCGGCTCAGGGCGGGCAGGATGGCGGTGAGCTGGGCGTCCCGGATCCCGCAGTCCTCCAGGTCCAGGGTCTTCACGGTGGCCGCGACGCTCTCCAGCAGAACTCGGAGGGGGCTCAGGGCTGAAGCGAGTCATCCTGACACCGCTCAGGTTCAGCTCGCTGAGCTGACGGATGCTCGGGCTCTGCGACAGACACGTCAAGTCTGATTCTGAGAGCCGAGAGTCGGTTATTGAGAGGGACTCCAGCGGGGTCCTCAGGAACCTGAGGAGGAGAGCCAAGGGTTAGATCTGAGAACTGAAGGGGAGAGGCGGGGGGGGAGGGGGGGGGAGGGTAGGGGGACGGCCTCCAAGGAGAGGACCATGGGGAACGGGATCCAGGCTGCTGTGGCCACAGCCCCACAGATAGCTTCCTGGTACGGTGGCCCTTTCTAGGCCACCAAAACCCTCTGCCTTTCATGAACCCCAGGTTAGCCCTCTGTATTTATTTACATGCACCCCAGCTTTGACCTCTGCCTTCACATGCGTGCTAAGAGGAGACCTGGCTACAGGACAGAAGTCGACATTCCTAATGTTCTGGTGTCTGGATCTCTGAGACAATCCCTGGTGGTCGGCACAGTAGGTGCTCACTAAACTTCCAGGGACAGCAAAGGCTCCCTCACCTGAGCACCTGGTGCAGGCGGCCTTCCAGGAAGCAGACAGAGTCCATGGACAGCTCCTGGAGGCAGCCCCAGGTGGGCAAACTGAGAGGTGAACTGCAGGACCAGCCGCTCCTGCTCCTCTGGGGCAATGGAGGCGGCCCGGTGGACGTGGGAGAGGAGGAGGCTGCGAAGATTTCCCATCCGGCTGAGGTAAGGAGCAAAAGTGGCCAGGCTGGACAGGGTCCAGTTGCAGTTCACTTCCACTTCCTCAACACAGGCCAGCTGCAGCCTTGTCCAGGATGTTCTTGACCCTGTGCACGTATGGGGTGATGATCTTCAACTTCTTACAGCTCAGCTGCACTAAAGCCTTTCTCTGCTCCACCCACAGGAGGAGGTAGGAGAAGAATGGGTCCAGGGCTGCCTGCCTGAGGCTCAGGTCCACAAACACCTTCAAGGGTGGCTTTGCCTCCATCCCTGCCCCATTCTCCTCTGCTGGACTCTTCTGCCTCTTAGTCTTGGCCTGTGCTGGGTAGACATAGGGCTCGTTTCCGGCCCAAAGCTTCCAGAAGTTGTGATGCAGGTTCCTCAAATCCAGAACTTGCAGTTTCCATCGTCTGTGGGAATACAGGAGCCTGGGAATGTAGGCAGAGCCCACCTTCTACCTTCCCCCGCCATTACCCCCTCCCTCTCCCTCTCTCTTTCTCTCTCCTCTCTCTTTCTCTCTCTTCTTTTTGGTGCCAGTCCTAGGGCTTGAACTCAGGGCCTGGCCATTTTCCCTGACCTTTTTTTGCTCAAGGGTAGTGCTCTACCTTTTGAGACACAGCTCCACTTCTTGCTTTTTTGGGCAGTTAATTGGAGACAAGAGTCTCCAAGACTTTTCTGCTCTGGCTGGCTTCAAACCGCAATCCTGAGATCTTAGCCTATTGAGTAGCTAGGATTATAGTGGTGAGCCCAAATCCAGTAGTGGAGCTGTGGATTAAGTAGTAAAGATTAACCTTGGGGCTGGGAAGGTGGCTCAGTGGTAGAGCGCTTGCCTTGCATGCATGAGGCCCCTGGGTTCAGTTCCTCAGCACCACATAAGCAAAAAGAAAAAATCCGGAAGTGGTGCTGTGGCTCAAGTGGTAGAGCGCTAGCCTTGAGCTGGAGAGCTGAGGGACAGTGCCCAGGCCCAGAGTTCAGGCCCCACAACCGGACTTCCCCCCCCCCCCCCCAAAAAAAAAAAAAGATTAACCTTAAGGGACAAAACTCAGTGACAGTGCCCAGACCCTGAGTTCAAGTCCCCAGTATTTGCACACTGGCTTATGTGAGCATGTACACACACACACACACACACACACACACACACACACACACACACGCGCACGCTTACACACACAAAGATAGATAAATCAGCCAGGCTCTGTTGGCTCAGTCTGTACTCCTAGCTACTCAGGAGGCTGAGATCTGAGGATCATGGTTCAAAGCCAGCCCAGGCAGGAAAGGCTGTGAAACTCTTATCTCCAATAAACCTCCAGAAAACTAGAAATGGTATTGTGGCTCAAGTAGTAAAGCTCTAGTCTTGAGCTGAAGAGCCAAGGGACAGTGCCCAGGTCAAGCCCCATGACCCAAAAAAAGGAAATCAGACTTAGTCCACTCCTCAAACTCAAGATCGTCCTCCCTTAACATCCCAAGTGCTGGGCTGCAGGGTGTGAGCCCCCAGGCCTGGCCTCCCTCTGAGATCTTCCCCCTCATCCCAGACAGCAGCTTGTCCCTTCTCTGACTTCCTGTCCTCCACTTTCCCCCTTGACTCCAGCCCGGTCCCCACCTCAAGTGCAGGGAAAGCTCCTTTCATGTTCTCTGTGTCTGTTCTAAGGAGACCTCCACACCTGGAAGATGTTCCTGGATGTGCTCAGCCATTGCCCTGGCCTCTTTGGTACTCCTGGGTTGTGTCAGAAGAACCCTCTAGACCACCTCATCTCCCCGACCCCCGGCTATCTCATCCCTGGTCTGTAGAGCTCTCTTTTCCCAACTACCTGGATACCACTTACCGGGACCAAACCTTCGGAGCAAGCAGCATGTCCAGCCCGTCCAAGGCAACCTGCAAGGCCTCCAAGTCTGACGCCTCCATCAGCGCCCCCAGGGGGAGGCAGGGGAAGGGCCAGGCCTGGATCAGGGCCTTCAGCGCTTCTGTGCATCTCCTGGCGAAGGCCTCCCTGAACAGTGGAGGGAAGAGCTCCACAGGCAGGTCCTCCAGAGCCGAGATAGCCAAGGCCTGGTTCATCAGCAGGCTCCGAGCCGCCAACTGCACCAGTGTGGGCGGGGCTTGATGGTACATCTTGATGAACCTGGAGGGAAAGGATCTTGGGACAGCATGCCTTTCCTGTCCTCTGCAAGTTAGCAATCCCAACTTGCCCCCTCCTGATTAAAGAACCAATGGAGGGAGCCTCAGTTTCCATCCACTTCCAGGTACTGTGTCACTCACTGAATTCTGAACCCATTACCACAGCCATGGTGGAACCTGTCACCTCACATCCACTCTTTAAAATTTTTTTTTTTGCCAATCCTGGGGCTTGAACTCAGGGCCTGGGCACTGCCCATGAGCTTCTTTTTTTTTTTTTTTTTTTGGGGTGGGGGGGTCCTGTCATGGGGCCTGAACTCTGGGCCTGGGCGCTCGTCCCTCAGCATTTCAGCTCAAGGCTAGTGCTCTACCACTTGAGCCACAGCGCCACTTCCGGCTTTTTTCCATTTGCTTATGTGGTGCTGAGGAATCGAACCCTGGGCCTCAGGCATGCAAGGCTAGCACTCTACCACTTGAGCCACAGCGCTACCTGAAGCTTTTTCTGTTTATGTGGTAATGAGGAATCAAACCCAGGGCTTCATGCATGCCACGCAAGCCTTCTACCACTAAGCCAAATTCCCAGCCCTCACATCCCAGTGATGGGAAAACCTTCCCATCACTGGCTGAGTGCTGATGGTTCCCATCTGGAACCCTAGCTACTCAGGAGGCTGAGATCTGAGGATCATGTCTCAAAAGCCAGCACAGGCGGGAAAGTCTGTGAGACTTGTATCATTAATTAACCAACAATATGCTAGAAATGAAGCTGTAGCTTAACCGTAGAGCACCAGCCTCACTTAATCTGGCTGGAAAAAATTAAAGTCATTAGTTTTGTCACAAGTTTATCACTTGTGAATACAGTTACCTGGAGGACTGCAGAAGGGAAGACCACAGTCTGAACCTCTCCATGCCGCAGAAGACAAAGTCACTCTCTATCTGAAAAACAAATAAATAAAAGCTAAGCAAACAAGGCTCATGGCTTAAGTAGTATAGTGATGGCTAGAAGCATGGGGTCCTGAGTTCAACACTGAAAATAAATCTGGTACTATCAGTGTGCATGAAAGTACATAAATGCCCTGGATGATGGAATGGACCAAGGAGGAAGGGGGAGGATGAACATGGAGGCTGTTTTAAAAAAGGGAGACTGCAGGGCTGAAAGCTTAAAGGCTGATTTGGCACAAGACATGTTTGGGGGGAGGGGCGAGGCTGCAGGGGTGGCCCCTCCCCTTTGGGAACTCTAGGGCACTGGAGATCCTCAATTAACTCTTCCTTAAAAACCCTCTGCTACTGTCCTGTGAATGGAATCTTTTATGTATTTAGCTGGGCTGGGGTTTGAACTCAGCTGCTCATGTGTGTTGCTCAGGCTCTCTTCCCGGTCTTCTTGCTGTGGATGGATTTCAGAAGGGCATTGCAGCTTGTTATTATTTGGGCAGGGTGTGCAGGATTTAGTTATTTTGGGCAAGATCTCCGTTCTGCCCCCACTGGCCTGAAAGAAGGATTCTTCCAATCTCAGCCCCTGAGCAGCTTGCTGCGATTCCAGGCATAGTCTCAATGTTCCCACCTTTGGCCATTTTCTGGCTCTACAGGAGGTTGTAGCTTCACCCATTGCCCTTTATATTATTGTTATTACTATTACTATTATTTCTGGTCCTAGGGCTTGTGATCTGAGGGACTTGGTGTGTCCCTGAGCTTCATTTCCTCAAGACTAGCACTGAGTCACAGCTCCATTTCCGGCTTTTTGGGCGGTTCACTGAGAGTCTCAGGGGCTTCCCCGCTCGAGCTGGGTTCGAATCGGGATCCTCGTATCTCCGGATTTACAGGCAAGCGCCACCGACACCAGGTTAGCTTATGTTACTTTATTATCTGTGTACACGCAGGGCATACCTGCGTACTGTTGACCCAGTGAGGGCCCTGGCCTTGGCCTGGCCGCTCTCCCTGGAGCCTGGCGCTCTGCCCTCGGGCCACGGCTCCACTCCCGCCCACCGTGATGCTACGGGAGGCGCCCTTACCCAGTCCATCCGGACCGAGGGGCTGGGGTCCAAGGAGGGTGCGTTACCTTCCCGACACCCCTTTGTTCGTGCCTCTCCTTCTGGAAGGTTCCTTCCCTCGGGCTGTGCCTCCTGCAGCGCCCCACCACCGCGGCTGAGGAGGAGCAGGGCCGGAAGACCCGCTCTGAAGCCGCCTCCTGGCCTGCGGCCCTGCGCATGCGCACTGCGCGGCCGATGGCCGGCGCCGCACGCACATGGGCTCAGGTTTGGAGGTGCACAGAGAAGGCTGGGGAGGCAGGAGCGGGGTGCGGGCAGAGAGGAGGCTGGGGAGGCAGGAGCGGGGTGCGGGCAGAGAGGAGGCTGGGGAGGCAGGAGCGGGGTGCGGGCAGAGAGGAGGCTGGGGCGGCAGGAGCCGGAGGTAGAGAGGGCCGGAGCCGTGTGCCCGGGAGGGAGAGCCAGTCAGGAGGCCTGGTCAGGAGAGCTGAGCCCCCACACCCGTCAGCAGGTGCAGAGGGGGTGCCAGGGCCTCCCCGGGGAGAGCTCAGGACGCTGCGTACGCCAGCCGCTAAAGTCACCCCTGCCCTGTTCTAGAAGCTTCTGTGTGGCTGGTGTGGCCCCGAACCCACTATGTGAGGTGCGCGCGGGGCTGGCGTCTACAGAACTCAAAGAATGCGGGACAGAATCTCCCGCGGCCCTTCAGCCCCAAGTCTCGCGGCCGTGGAGGCAGCTCGCAGTCTGTGGGACAGAACTACTGAAGGACTGGGAGGACCCAGAGCACTTTTATAGGAGCACTTGGGGCACGAGATGGAAAGACACTGACCTGGCCCGAGGCGCAGCTCCCATGCTCTTCCCAGGTTGGGGGGGGGGGGGGTGATGAGGCCCGAGGCGGAGCTCCCATGCTCTTCCTAGGTTGGGGGGGGGGTGATGGGGCCCGAGGCGGAGCGCCCATGCTCTTCCCAGGTTGGCGGGGGGTGGGGGGGGTGGGGGGGGTGGGGGGGGTGATGGGGCCCGAGGCGCAGCTCCCATGCTCTTCCCAGGTTGGGGGGGGGGTGATGGGAAATGGGTAAGAAGGAAGACTTACCCAACTTAAAAAAAAAATTGTATAGAACATGTTTAACTTTTAGTCCAAAAGCAACATCCAATTTATAAAACCATAAAGCTAAAAGCTCTACCGTTTTAGGGTGGATGAGTTAACTATTTGTGTGAAGATACATTTGTGAATCCGATCATTTATTATTTGGTCGGATGTGGGGCTTGAACTCTGGGCCTGGGCGCTGTCCCTCAGCTCTTCAGCTCAAGGCAGGCACTCTACCACTTGAGCCACAGCACCACTTCCAGTTTTCTGGTGGTTTGTTGGAGATAAGAGTCTCATGGACTTTCCTGCTTGGGCTGGCTTTGAGCTGCAATCCTCAGGTCTCAGCTTCCTGAATAGCCAGGATTACAGGGGTGAGCCATCAGTGCCCGACTGATCTTTTTATTGTTAAAATTAGATTTTTTGTTATTAAAGTGATGTACAGAGGGGTTGTTTCATAAATCAGGTAATGCAGATTGTTTTTATTTATGTTTGGTGTGTGTGTGCCTGTCCTAGGGGGCTTGAGTGCAGTCCCTGAGCTTTATTTGTGCGGGTCCTGGGGCTTGAAACTCAGGGCTTGGGCGCTGTCTTTGAGCTTTTGTTGTTGTTGTTTTGCTTGTCCTGGGTCCTTGAGCTTTTTTGTGTGTGTTTGTGTGCTGGTCCTGGGACTTGAACATGGGGCCTAGGCGCTGTCTCGGATCGTGTGTGTGTGTGTGTGTGTGTGTGTGTGTGTGTGTGTGTGTGTGTGTGTGTGTGTGCCGGTCCTGCAGCTCGACTGAGGGCTTGGGCACTGCCCCTGACCATTTTTTTTGCGTCTCACGGACGTTCCTGCTCGGGCTGGCTTTGAACCGCGATCGTCAGCTCTCAGCCTCTTTAGCAGCTAGGATGACAGGCGTGAGCCAGGCCGCCAGCCTTTCCTTCTTTCCTTTTTCGGTAGGGTCTCACGGTTTGCTCGCCCGAGGGGAACGGCCTACCGATGCCTCTAAGTGGCAGGTTGACGGGGCGCCTGGAGGCCAGCCCCCCCCCCCCCCGGCCAGCCCCGCCCCCCGGCCAGCCCCGCCCCCCGGCCAGCCCCGCCCCCGGCCAGCCCCGCCCCCCGGCCAGCCCCACCCCCGACCAGCCCTGCCCCCCGGCCAGCCCCGCCCCCGGCCAGCCCCGCCCCCCGGCCAGCCCCGCCCCCCGCCCCCGCCAGGCCCCCGGGCCAGGCCCGGCCTGGAACCGCCGCCTCCGGCCTCCGCCTGCTCAGGCCCACTTCCGGAGTGGGCGGGACCACGGGCGCCATGCCGCCCTGCTCTCGGGCTCTGTAACCGAGCTAAGGCCGCGCCCGTTCCCTTCCCATCCCGGAGCCCTCCCTGCTAACCCCCCACCCCCACCCCACCCCACGACGAAGAGCCGCAAGAACGGGACCACGGGGCTGAACTGGGCCGCGTTATCCGCCGGAAGCCATCGAGTTTCCCGCCCGAGGCCGCCATGTTTCCCGCCTCTCGTTCTGGAAGGTTCCTTCCCTCGCGCTCCGTCCCCCAGCACCGCACGCTCCCACCCCCGCGGCGCCCACCTACCACGGAGGGGTCCCTGCGGGCGGAGCAGAAGGAGGGCAGGGCGACCTCACTCCGAAGCCCACCTCCCGATCTCCTGCTGCGGCGCCGTGCCCTGCTCACCCTCCTGCGCATGCGCGTCCTCCCTTGACGCACGCACCGACGCTGGCCGCCAGGGGGCGCCACACGCGCTGCTTCCGGCAGAGCTGCTTGGACAGGGCCAGCGCCCCCCTCTCCCAGGTGTTTTTCTGATCAGGGTTGGCCTGGAGCCTTCTGGTGGCAGGCCCGAGTTACTGGGCTTGCAAATGTGAACCACCGACCTCAGCTTGTTCATTTTAAACTAGAGCTTGAACGCAAGGCCTTGAACTGGCTGGGCAAGTGTCCTTCCACTATGACTCCAGTCCA